TTAGTAATAAACAAAAAGTACAAGCAACAAATAAAGCAAAAAAGCAAGAAAATACAAATTAGTTTTCATATTTATTAATTAAATAAAAATATAATTAGTATAATAAATAAAATGTATTATTTTTATTTTAATATTGATATTTTAAATAAATAAAATTTTATATACTTCAATAAATTTTTTTTTGTATTTTTATAACATTTGTAAGAATCGAAATATCGATTCATGTTGATGATTAGGAGAAATTTGAATACAATATATGAAATAAGTAAGGGACCCAATCAGAAACATGAATCACAATGAGATTTGCTTATTATTTAAAACACAACCTATGATAAGCATGTGCAAGACCAGCAGAGCCAAAAAAAAAGCTGCCAGCAGGACAAATCCAATTAAATAATAATTTATTTAATAAAAATATTATTTAAAAAATATAACAAATCAAATCTTTTTCAAATTTTCCAAACACACAAATTATCAAATATATGCTAAAGTATATTGTTAGAACATTTACAAATAAAATTTCTACTATCTAATACATTTCATTTCAGTAATATTAACATAAGAAATTACAAAAAATAGTCTTAAAAACTTTACATAAATAATTTTAATGTAATAAAAAACAGCTAAAATCTAAAAAAAATTATAAAATCTCAAAAAATTCACAATATTTGTCATATATCTATTATCAAATTGTATCTATATACCAATATTATCAATATATGAGCAAAGCCTCACCTTAATACCAAAAAACCAATATTATCAAATAAACCAAAAATATAATTCAAAATAAAATTATCAAATTTAGCTAAATTTCTAGCTCTATAATAATCTCTTTCATCTTCTGCATCTCTTAAAACAATTTTTAAAGCATTATTTAACTTTTTTAAATTATTATTTTCTTCAATTAATTGAGCATTGTTAGTTTTAATATCTTGAATATTATTTCTCAAATTATTATTTTCTCTTATTAATTGTTTCTTATCAGCAAGCAATACAATATTTTTTTGTCTTAATAGTTCTGCTATAACTGCCATTTTATTATAAACAAAATTGTCTTTATATGTTATTTATATTTTATAAGCAATCAAATTTTTAATTACTTTTTTAAATAATTTTTTTTTAAAAAACACTAAAATTTGTTTCCAAGATATGACAAAAATAAGATCTTGATTAGAAACAATTTCAACTTGTTGAAATTGTTTATCATCAAATTAAGATGTTTGTCATATCAACAGAAACAAACTAAGAATAAAAAGCTTGGTTCTTTTCTGAAAAATAAAAAAAGCACAAAGCATATTCAAAAATAAGAAAAGTAAAATTAATACAATTTTTTAGGCTAAGAGCCTAAAAAATTGTTACTAATTACATCAGATTTTTTGTTATTGTGATTTTTTTTATTTTCTTATCTCATAATTGTTATCACAAATTTTATTTTATTTTTTTATATTAAATAACAAATTGGTACATTTTACTGATATGAATTAAAGTTTAAATCTTAATTAGTACATTTATCGATTTAGTAATTAATCTTATTTAAATGAATTTCCAAATCAGATTTTTTAATTTGGTAAATATACTAAAAATCAGATGTGTTGATCCAATATAAATAATAAACTAAAAATAAAATAACAACATATTTGCTAATCTTAATATAAATTCTAATCTAAAATTAGACTATTAACTATATATACAATATAAAATCTAATCTAAAAATAAAGTAAGCAATATATTTTATTAATTGCTATATAAATTATTACTTTAAAATTAAATATTTAATAAGCAATTTGAATATGTTTTCAGGTACAAGTTCAAATATTTTAACTGTTGCAAATATGTTTTCAGGTACAAGTTCAAATATTTTAACTGTTGCAAATATGTTTTCAGTAAAAGTTTGAATACTTTGACTCTTTGACCAATTAGAAATCACATTTATGAATATGTTTTTAGGTACAAGTTTGAATACTTTGATTATTGACTAATTAAAAATTACAATTATGAATAAGTTTTAGGTACAAGTTTGAGTACTTTGGCTGTTGAAATATCATCCAATCATATTGTATATAATATCAAATTACTTTTGCAAAAATCTGAGTTTATTCGAATTGCTTTTGCAAAAATCTAAGTTAATTGAATATCATCCAATTATATTGTATAATATCAAATTGCTTTTGCAAAAATCTGAGTTTATTTGAATTGGTTTTGCAAAAATCTGAGTCAATTGAAGTATCATCTAATTATATTATATAATATCAAATTGCTTTTGCAAAATCTGAGTTTATTTAAATTAGTTTTGCAAAAATCTGAGTTAATTGAAGTATCATCCAATTATATTGTATATAATATCAAATTGCTTTTGCAAAAATCTGAGTTTATTCAAATTGGTTTTGCAAAAATCTGAGTCAATTGAGGTCTCAGCCAATCATGAGTATATTATATCAAATCTTTTTTGAAAAAATTGAGTTCTTTACTGAATATTATATATTACAATAAAAATCTATTTAAATAATTATATATAAATTATATTTTAAAATTAAAATACTAATATAACTGTCGATCTCAATATAAATATAATCTAAATTTAAAGTATTAATTTTATTGCAACATATGTAATTCAATTATATATATATTTAGAACCTTTTAGCAATTTTTTTCATCAATAAAAGCTAAACAAAAAATCTTTTCTTTCTTTTTATGATTATTTTGTTTAGCCTTTATATATTCATAAAAATTATTTTACAAAACTTTTTTTAAAAAAATTCTCTAATAATTATTAAACAAAATGTGTTTTTTATATTTAATTCTTGTTGCAATTATTTGCTTTGATCTATTAATAGTAAACAACATTAAAAAATTTGATATTTTTACTTTTATTTTTGAAATTATTTATTCAAAAGAATTCTTTTTTTATTAGAATGATTATTTATTTAATATTCATTATTTTTAATATTTGTCTCTGGTGCTACTTAATAAAAACATATTCAGTGTGATATATTTATTAATTTTGTAAGTTAGATATTCCATCTTATTTGTATTTATAAATTCGAATTATTGCTGTCATAGCAAAATAGAAGTATATTCTGAATGTATACTTATATATGCTGAGGATGTATTCTATTATTTTGTGAAAAACTGATATCAGAATTGAAGTTATATCTTTAAGATGCTGGTACTGCAAACACTGGTAAAGAGAATTTTTGTAATAGTATTTTTTTTATTCATTTATTTAGATAAATAAAATAATTTATATAACAATTAAAAAAACTAATATACTAAAAATTTTTTGTTATATTCCTCAAGGTCTGTCCAACTTTATAAGTATTTAACATTATATTTTTCAACATATTCATTAACTTTTTCTAAGTAATTTTCAATTAATATAATATTTCATTCATTTACATCTTCTAGTAAATCCAAAGTATCATTAATATAATGATAATACATTCCTTTATTTCATCTGTGAAATGTTGACCTTGTATGATACTCGATCTATGACAAGATGTTATTTAATCTTTTATGTTTAGTATTGTGATAAATTTTTAGTATAAAATTAATTAAACCTTTTTCAACAAGATAGTTTTTAAATTCTTCATAACTTGTAAATACAATGTATTCACTAGTTTTAATTTCTTCAATAAATAGTTCTTTAAATTTAACTATTAGTAAGAAGCTTTGAAAAAAGTCTTTATCATCAGTTAAATTTGATGACCAATTTGAATCATCTTGAATAATATTGTTCTAATAATTATTGTCTTTTTCAAATATTTTTATTTTCTTGAATGTAGTTTTAATTTTTTTAATAATGTTTTTAATAAAGGTTATGTTGCAGTATTTTTAACAAATATTTTTTTTTTTTGTAAAAATCTTAAGTAATTAAATAAAAAATCTTATTAAATTTAATTTTGCCAAATAAAGTAAATTTTATTTATCAAACAAGTAATGAACTAATTAAACAAATATTAAACTTCTAATTTACATAATTGAATAATCCTAAATTCTTTTTTTATTTATATGTAATAGAATAATTATTTAATAAAAAAATAATTATGTTTTATAATTTTTAATTGCTTTAATAAACCTTATCTATAAATTTGCTTCATGTTTTCTTTGAAATACAAACTCTTTCAAATGCAAATCAAGCTTTTCTTTAACAGTATCTCTCTTTAAAATATTCATTTTAATTTCATGCCAGGTTCTTTTACAATGATTTGTGTGAATTCTCTTTAAAGTTTAACTTTTACTTGGCTTCTTATGATTTATTTTTTGATGTTTAAATTTTATATCTATTTTTTCAAGTTCTGAATAGCCTCTTCATAAATCTGAATAAATAGTTGATTCAGATCTAATATGTGTTTTTATAAATCTTTTTAATGTGTTAGCATTTCTATCTTGTATCATTTTAAAAAAACATTTTGTAATTTTGTTCTTTCAACACATCCAAGCACCCAAAAATTCTCTTGTGCTTTAAATTTTGATTCATCAATTTCAACTATAACACTATTTCTGCCTATTTTCCTATTTTCTTTAACTAAACTATCTGCAACTATATTTCTAAACAATTTTATAAATCTTGTCACAGTTTCTTTTTCAGAGTAGTAAATAACCAAATTGTTGTATATCTTACTCTAATCAGCCACAAATATCCAATAAGCAAAATCTTATTACATCTCAGTTATATTTGTAAAAATTGTATTCATATTGGTGGATCGGCATAATTGGGCCTTTTAAAAGAACTCTTAAAAATTTGCAAAAGCCACATGATTGGTCAAATGATCTAAGCCACCCCCAAATTTTTCTTCGAGCTATATTCAAAACAACCCAAATATACCTCAAATAATATTTTTTATTATAGAAACCCATCCTTTTCTAGCAGAACCCATTCTAAGATAAGATCGCATTAATATAAATTTAATATTTGCAATAAATAGAGTCTGGCATATTTTAATTTAAAAAGAAAAAAAACTTATAGTGTTTTGTGATTTCTTTTTCTTTAGATCATTTAAATGAGGCAAAGTACTTCACAATCTACAACTGAAATTTTTTCTTGCACATTGTGTTCTAAAAAAACATTTAAAAGCAAGTGTGGTTTTAACATTCATAATACCTGTATTCACAAATTGCAAGACTATATTTTAAATTCTTCTGATAACATTACATCAAATATGCGAATTTTTTGTACACTATGTACTCGAAAAGGTTTTAAAAACAAGCAAGGCCTTATTAGACATAAAAGATATACTCACAGCACATACAACATTCCTTATGCAACCTTAATATCTTTACCAGAAGAAGCTATCAATGAGTTTAAAGAAACCATTGTTTATTTGATTCAACATCAACTTTCTAATCATAGCAGCTCAATCGGATCTCGATGCATTACTATTCCTTGTTTGGAAAGTCAATTTATAGGGGTGTTTGGTAATTATATTGCACAGTATGCACCTATCCAACAAATCTATAAATGTGTGTTTACAGGTGAATGTGCATACGAAACATTGCAGTTAATTTTTGGTGATAGTAATTGGGGTATTCGCCATTATATGGGAAATCAACAAACTGCAGTAATTTTATTTACACCAACACAAACTGAAGATGATTATAACAATACAAAGAATTTAGGTTTTGATACTTTACCTCAAGATCAAAATGCAACCAAGTTTGAAATGAAAGTTAAATAGAAATGATGAGGAATAAAAGATACTATCAATCATGAATGCACAGGTAGATTTTTAACATTAAGATTCACAACAGACACAGCTTTTTTTTAATTCTACCATTTTTAACTTTTATTTGTTGTATATAGATTTTTTTCATTAGTTTTGTTATTGTTAATAAAGGAATAACCTATAGAGATGATTTTAATGATTAGTGAATGGTAAGTATCGCAGTTAGAGGGTATAAAATGATCGACATTTATTAATGATATATGGCGGGCATTTATTATTAATTAAAAATTACATACGGTTGGAATGAACAAGAATGTCTCATTGTGTATCATCAAAAAACAAAAAAATAAATAGCACATCATGCAAATAAAAGTAAAAAGCTCAAATCTTTGTTATAGACCCGTGTTTGAGGTTGGTGACTTAAAATTTATATTTTTATATGAAATTAATAAGCAACAATGAATTTGTTCTAATGGAATTTTTAACCCAACATGACCAGGCTTTTTATACTCAGCAAAAGAAAAATTAGTCCCGTGAAATCTTGAATAATGTCCAGAGGCACGGCTTCAGATTATGCCTGAATTAAGTTATGGCTCGAAATAGTATGCATGTCCCATTATTTTAAGGATTGCTTGTGCTTGATTTAAGCAAATATTTGGGTTTACTTTAGTGTTTGTAGGGCTCTGCAAGTGCCAGCATGTGCCCTATTAAAACATAGTATCAGGCATAGGCATGAGCACTATGTTTTAATAGTATGCGTGCTGGCACTTGCAGAGCCCTAAGTGTTTGGTTTTATAATGTCAGAATACTTACTAGGGTACATAGCTTATTTTTTTTTTTATTATATACTTTCCTATAGCACCAAAGAATAGTCAAGCTAATGGCACGTATGAACAATTGTGTGGGATTGTTATAAAGACGAAGTTGTGTAGAAAAGGATAATATAAAACATTTGAATATTATCAAAGTCTGCTGAAATGAGTATGATTTATAATCAAAAGCCTACTAATGTGGAAAACATTAATGAAACACTTGCTGGCACACTTGGAAATTATTTGAGTGCTGTCAAAGGAAAACCTGTCATCGGGCTTTCAATTATATTTTGTACCAGACATAATCTATTTAATTAATTAGAGATTGTGTCTGGTGCAAAATATAATTGAAAGCCTGATGCCTTTGATGGCACTCATTTTTAGTAAAAGGAATTAGAGCCAAAAAGTATAAGATCCTCAATCTGCTGATTTAATAGAATTTGAATTATAATTATAAAGAAAAGTGGTGAGTACAAGATATTCATTTATTATCAAATGAGTGCTACTAAGGGAAAATGAGAATTCAGGCTTTCAATTTTAGCATTTATTATTTATCAGATTCAGCCTTTAAAAATCTGATGGTAACATATATGATATGTAATCACATATTGTATATATCAGTAATTAGATTTTTCAGGAGCTGAATTCAGTAAATAATCGAAAGCCTGAAGTCTCATTCTCCCTTGGCAGCATATATATAATATACCAGAGATAACTCTTAAGTTGCTTATTATTATCGAAATGAGGTCAAGATTGAAAAGATAAGTATAATGCATTTGCTTATATGAATAACACAGATAGAGTGCTTGGCTTTATCAAAAATCTGGGAGACAGAAAATACTATAAGCATTAAAAAGAACGAACGTAATCTACTGATACGAGTAGTGCTGATGAAGCATTTAATCTCGGATTTTATGATCAGATATTGTAATTATAAAGGAATTGGAGTTGTAAAGGACGAATGTACTGTAATGTGTTTTAATCTACCAAGATATTGTTGTCAAAGGGACTTGTGTAATATTTTAAGACAGGATTAGGTAAGGTTGGTACATCCCATTTGAGCTGTATTTGTATTTACTTGATCAGAAGCTTTAAAAAATATACAAGAATAGCTAATAGGCTCAAATCTCTAATATGTATATAAATAGGATAATAAATAAACAAATGACTATTTAGATTAGAAGGAAGAAAAGCATTTTACAAGAATAGCTCGCTGACTTTAGAATGAACTTGAATCAGACAGTGGAAAAGCAATAGTAGATGCATTTTGCAAGACTACTTCATTGACTTCTTTGAATCAGAAGGAGGATAGTACGCTTTGAAATTTTTTTTATTGTAATCAGCTACTAAATACTTTTTGTAAAACATGACTGATTTTTTTTTTTACTAAATATATTAGGATAGTGCTCAACATTTGGTATTCGCTATATTCAGATTTTAATGAAGAACATTATTCTTAATGAATCCTAGTTCTAACAAACTTAAATCGGAAGATGGAAAAGCATTAGCAGATACATTTTGTAAAAACACCATATTGAAAATTTTCAGCAATAATGGATGTGCTGAGGAAAATCATTAGAAAATATGCTTTGCAAGAACTCCATACTGACTACTTTGTAGAATGAATTTAGATTATAAAGAAAAAAAGAATTCCATGCTGTGATTTACTATTGCACAATACATCATTGAATCTTATCTTTATTTAGTTATAATGCTCCTAATTTTTATATTGCTGGGTCCCAAATTATAGTTTTTATTTTTACTATGTATTTCTGAGTTATTATCTTCTAAAAGTTAAAATTTTTAAATAAAAGTTTTTGCCCTGTTATGAGAATAAATAATTAACTACATTGCCTAATTTTAAGATTATAATTTTTAAGATTTTAAATTTTTAAAATTAAAGATATAAACTTTCAAGATTTCGTTCATTTCAGAATAAAGATTTTGGATTTTGAATTTCCAATTTAACAATTACATTCATATATTCAATGTGATTTTTAAAACTATCATATGTTTCTTACTTTATTATAAATGTTAAAAGATCTAATGAGACGATATTATATATAGAAACCCTGTTACCAAAGAATCACTCAGATTTCAGAGATTGGTTCAAGAAATGAGTGATATGCTCTACTAGTGGTGCTTGTTTATTTGTCATTAAATTTGCTAAGATATTAAAATTCAATAATTTAGAATTGGCTTCGATATTACAATATAGCGGTAAATAGTTTAAATAATTGCATAAATGTCAATTTAGGATTTAGTGAAAGGAATTCAGAATGAATAAAATGAAAATAAATCAATTTAATAATTAAAATATGTAATCAAAGTTTACTTATCGGTAAAAAAAAAAAAAAAAAAAAAGATAACGAAAATTCTCTATTTTAATTCTTAATTGAAACATTCTACTCTATAAACCCAATTTTTATTCTATTAGTATCATTTTCACGATATATAAATAAAATAATATATTTACCTTAGTGTAATTGAATTGTAAGCCTAGTGTCTTTTTCAAAAAAAGCTGGTATATTATGAGTATAAAAATAAAGATTCCTAGTATCATAATTCATTATTTCTAAAATAGTGGCTTTTCTAACTTTGCCACTATCTTTTAAGCTTTTTTGAAAAAAATATGAAACCTGTTGATGGTTTTTTTTTTCTACTGCAGTATATGAATAACTTGCCATTCCAAAACTAATGTGCAAATCTTTAAATTCTGCTATATAATACACTAATGCATGAATATAAGGTGTTATATCTGCAGGCCGATATAATCCTTTAACAAATATCTTAGAATTAAAATTTTCTTTTGATTTTGTTAAAAAAATATTTAACCATATGATGGCTTTGGCTTTAAACTGATCACCTGTTATTTCAGGATTCTTGATGTCTTCATATAGTTGGGCAAATCCATTTCACAAGTTGCATACTAATATTGCATGATCATTAGGTAAGATCTTTGCAAAGTTGAAGTTGTAAAGTACCTTAAGTTTATCACTTCCTATTAGGGAAGTATATTTCCAACTACCGGTAGTTGTTCCTTTCTCTTGCCAAAATTCAAAATAAACATTGATTCTTTTCATTTCTTCAATAATTTCAGAATATTTGCTATCAAATTTTTTAGTGGTTTTGAGCTCTGCTATTACTAAAGACTATAATCGATCCCAAACACATAACAACAAATGAAGTTCATCAATAATCCAATGATGTAAAGGAATCATAAAAAAGATTGACTTTTTTATATGTCCATCTATATTCATATAGTTTTGATTAATCGTATTGATATTTTTACTAATTTTCTAGTCTTTTTCAAAATTACTATTCTCATCTTTTTTACAATCACACCATAAGCAAAAATAATTGGCATTAGCTGCCTTGTGCTCAAGACAAAGTGCAAGCATTTTCCAATCTGCTGAAAAGTACAAATGAACTTTCCATAGTCATCCTTGTTGATCAATAAATCCATTTTTTATATCCTCTAAATCTAAAATCAAAAGCACTAATGCAGTTTCTAAGCTTTCATACTTTTCTGCTCCTGGATAAAGAACTAACGTATGGTGATAATCAGGTTTGTGTATATTTGATAAATCATTTAGGATACTAAATGTAAACATCACATGCTTTATTTTGCATCCAACATTGCGGCCATCTCCGGAGATTTGCAAGTAAATATTTCTTAACTCTAAATTTAATATTTTATTTTGTACTAATGTTGGAATTAAATAGGCCAAGATATCTTTAATTGATCTATATGTGCCTTTTCCAACTGACTCTATAACTGATTCAACAATATTTTGATCATTAAAATGAATTTCTTCATCAATTAATTCAGTTAAGTTATTTAATAAATTTGTTGAAAGATCAAATAAAGTTGTTTTTATTTGACTTGCCATATTGTACATAAGTTGTTTTTTTGCTTCAGAAACTGACCATTCACGTGGCAAACTTAGACTAAGATTAGCAATTGTTCTATATGCAGATCGTGATATTTTGCTAACATCCATTGCTTTAATAATTGCTAATAAACGTAATTCTTCTGTATTATTATAATGTTGATTATAAACAACTGAATAAGAATGGCTATTAATAGTAAATTTTATTTCATTTAATATTACAACATCATCATTATGAAAAACTGATTTAATTTGTTTTTGAGCCGCTTGGTAAAAAACAGTTGCACCTTTTTTACTTCTATTTTGTTAACCTGATTCACTTAACAATGAATATGGCTTTAAACTATGATTAACTTGTTTCATTTCTCGAATATCTTTTATTTGTTGTAGTTGTAATCCAAATAAAAGAATTCCATTTCACTTTGTACCAGAAGTTTTTTTTTGATTTTCTTCATTTGAATTTTTTTTTTTTAGTTTTTGATTCAATAGCCTATTAAAATATAAATATAATATTTTATTAAATTATTTAGTAATAATAAATTAATAATTTTTTAATATACATACTTTTTGATATAAATTTGCCGCTGCTGAAGGACTTTCTTTAAATTCTACATAATCATTATGTTCATCACCATAAACAACTCGAAACTTTGCATCTTTTCCACAATAATAAATTGAACAAATAACTGTTTTTTGGTTTTTTTTTTTCTATATGAAGTATGAACAATATAATTATTAGGAATTTTGTATTTTCCAGGTTTTCTAATATATAATAGCTTAAATTCTGGTGGGTATTTGCCTTCTAAAATAATTTTATATATTAAACTTCGATGTGGAGTTTTGTAAATTATTACAGAATCTTGTAAATATGTATTAGTTTCATATTCATACTTTCTTTGATTTGTTTGTGTCATTTTTAAAACAAGTATGTATATAAAATTTGATTGTTATATAAATAAGTACAGTCAATCTTCTCAAAATCAGTATACATAGTGAACAGGTTTTGTATCAGTTTTAACAAACTTGAAGAATTAATTTTTTTTGACCGATTATAGAGGTTATCGGTTTTGACAGAATTGGTTTTGAGAAGATCAACTATATATAAAAATTTTTAGGATATTTTTATTAGATCTTCAATTTTAGGATACTATGTCGATCTGCTGATATGTAGAATAAACTGAATTTGTCTCTTTCGAACAATTTGTATAATGAAAAATTTTTCTAGTTGAAATAAAATATAAAATTTTATATTTACAATGTAAGCATTCCCTCAGTTTTTTCAAAATTTTCTGTCTAAAAAGAAATTCTACACATTTTTTCTCATTGAGCAAAATATTGTTCAATTCATAAAAGCTTAGAAAATTCATTTTTTTCTAAAAATATGTGATTTTAATCAAAATTTTCTCTTTAAATCGACAGGTTTTAAAAATTTTTGTACTTTATCTTTTTTAATAATTATTGTTTGATTTTTTTGTTTCTATTAAATTGTTTTTTTTTAATTTATTTTTGTGATATAATTTTGGAAAAGTGAAATTTAAATATTTTTTTTATATTATATATATTTAGTATTTCAATCAGTAGTGTTACAGATTAAAATACTAATTAAATTATATTAAGTAAACTAATATTAATTTATAAGAAAAGTTTGTAGAGCAGATCTTTTTTTTTTTTTTTTTTGTTTTTGCTTATGCTAAGGCCTTTTAGTTATGATGGTTACTGCCTTTATTGTGAATTCAATTATGATTATATAACTTTTACAAGGTTACCTCTATACTATACTAGCAGATAGCAGCACAAGCTTCTGTACACCTAATTAGATGCTGTCTAACCTAACCTTGACCTCTCTGTCTATATGACTGTTAGGCCGTTATATATTTCAGAGTATGTTATCTAACTATAGGGCTCCAAGAGGCCCTCTGCTAACTAACTATTCACATTTAATCTTTGCTAACAGAGCTCGCCCTTGCAGAGTTCACCCAGACCCCAGCACTGACTTCACAGCATATTCCTAGTACTTTAGTATACTCCTGTTTCTGATCTCAAACTCCCAATCCAGATAGCCTGGTAGGACTGTGACCTGTCCTTGGTATCCCAGGGTCTGCCTCCCAAGGTCCTTTTTCTCTGGTTTGAGTCTTCCGGCGGCCTGGTTGGTAGTACCTCTTAACGAGGTTCTTGCTCATCTGATTTCTTCCACATTGATATCCATTTCCTAGGTCTAGTCTTTATAGAAGTACTGTCAAAGATCTGTGTTACCTCTCTACTCAGGTCTTCCTAAGTAGGCTTCGGTTATTCCAGTTCATGGATTTACATGGCCACAGATGTTCTATGACCTGCCAGTTATCTGGTATAACTGTGTTACAGGTACTGATCCCAACTGATCAATAGATAGCCATTGCTGTATTATCAGTTTTAAGGACTTATTTTGTGTTTGCACTGCCTAATGCCAGTTTGCATTCCTCTGTGTAACTCAAGCATTGCACAGATGCCCGTATACATCAATGTAACATAGGTGATTTTTCAAATTTTCACTGTCAGTAGGGTTTTGAACTCCCAACCTACCACTTGGGAGGTTGACAACTTATCTACTTCACTAAGTCACCACACCCTTTAGCAGATCTTTCTGATTTTAATGATAGTAAAATTATTAAATTTGATTAAAAACTCAGTAAGATATAACTTTTTAAAGATTAGA